ATATGTGTTTTGTGCAAACACACACGCACAGATATATATACCTATAAATATCCATATACATATCAACCTTACTTGCCTTCATATATCGAAGCGGTACAATTTCTCCGACATCAATTGTAGGCACAATAAAGATATTGGCATCCTTTCCTTTACAGTGGAGAGTCTGGCGCCGGCAAGACTGAGAACACCAAGAAGGTGCTGTCCTACTTCGCCAACGTCGGCGCCACCACCAAGAAGAAGGATGATGAGAACAAGCCGGTAACACTCGTGTCCAATGTAGATCTTTTATCATATATGAAGAACGTATTGTCTTGAGTAAAAAAATTATTGTAAATGTTGATCAGCTGTGGATATTCGGCATTTGATTAAATATCTGTTTGTTCGAAAGGTACGCTTTCCTCTTACAGAACTTGGAGGACCAGATCGTGCAGACCAATCCTCCTCTTGAAGCTTACGGTAATGCCAAGACCACCCGTAACGACAACTCCTCTCGTTTCGTGAGTATCCGTTCAGTATAGAAAATAGGCTGTCTATCCGATACACAATCAGGATATTGACTTTATGAGGCGTGTAATCAGAAATGACTAAAAATCCCCATCTACCTCTTCTTGCAGGGTAAGTTCATCAGGATTCACTTCGCCCCCAATGGCAAGCTGTCCGGCGCTGACATCGAAGTGTACCTGCTGGAGAAGGCTCGCGTCATCTCGCAGCAGGCTGCTGAGCGAGGCTATCACATCTTCTACCAGATGATGTCCGATCAAGTCCCTTACATGAAGAGTAAGTACTGCGTGGCTTTATAGTGGCACTACTGAAAAATAATAGACAATGTAGTTAGAGTTATTCGATCAAGTATTTTTTTTTTCAGTGATGAAAGATCACCATGATAATGTGAGAGCTCACAAACAATTTTTTTCCAACAGAACTATGTCGTCTTACTGACGACATCTACGACTACAACTACGTAGCTCAGGGCAAGGTCACTGTGCCTTCCATTGACGACAAGGAAGACATGGAGTTCACACACGTAAGTCTGTTTGACAATTTGAAAAGGGGTATAAATCCTTGAGAACATCATTAAAATGAACATCTTTACTGAATTTAGTACTGATATATAGGTGTGTGTGTTTGTGTCTATGTGCATGTATATTTATGTGAGGGTGTAAGTGTGCTTCCGTGTTTGTGGGTGTGTTTGTATTTGTGAGTGTGGGGTGTGTGTGTGATTGTGTGTGTGCGTGCGGTTGTTTGTGTGTGTGTGGTTGTTTGCGTGTATGTAATACACAAAAGTAATGATCCATAAACACTTCCTTCCATCAGAACGCTTTCACCATTCTGAACTTCACTGACCAAGAGCGCGATGACGCCTACAGGCTCACTGCTTCCGTCATGCACATGGGCAACCTCAAGTTCAAGCAGAGGGGCCGAGAGGAGCAGGCCGAACCCGACGGTACCGAGGTATTTAACCGACATTCATCTTTAATTTTTATGGCAGTAGAAGGCATGTGCATTTTATCTCTTCTCCTGTCTCCGTGAAAGTCTTTAACCCTCTCCACTCCCCCCCCCCTCCAGGCTGGTGATACTCTTGGTGAGGTTATGGGCGTCGACAGTGCTGAGCTGTATAAGAATCTGTGCAAGCCCAAGATCAAGGTCGGCGCTGAGTTCGTCACCCAGGGAAGAAACGTAAACCAAGTTAACTACTCCGTTGGTGCTCTGGCAAAGGCCCTGTTCGACCGTCTCTTCAAGTGGATCGTGAAGAAGTGTAACCAGACCCTCGAGACTGGCATGAAGCGTGCCATGTTCATCGGCGTGCTTGATATTGCTGGTTTTGAGATCTTTGACGTAAGTCTTTTCTGCCGTTTGGTACTGGGTAATATTGCTGAATAGAACTAATCATCACTCAACTAGTACCATTTCTTACTCTACATATTATATAATGATGATGTTTCTTTGTACAGTACAACGGCTTCGAGCAGATTTGCATCAACTTCTGTAATGAGAAGCTACAGCAGTTCTTCAACCATCACATGTTTGTGCTGGAGCAGGAGGAATACAAGTCAGAAGGAATTAACTGGCAGTTCGTCGACTTCGGTATGGATCTGCAAGCCTGTATTGAGCTCTTCGAGAAGGTGTGTTCTGCAGGTTATGAGTTATTTCCAATTATTTACAATGTCATCGGTATATCCCTTGAGCTGAATAGGTAAATACATGAGAAATTCCATTATCCACCTTGATTATTTCATTGCAGAAACTCGGTCTGCTCGCCATTCTCGAGGAGGAATCCATGTTCCCTAAGGCTACTGACAAGACCTTTGAGGAGAAGCTGAAGGCCAACCATCTGGGCAAGTCTCCCTGCTTCATCAAGCCGAAGCCTCCCAAGCCAGGCCAGGCTGAGGGTCACTTCGCCATCGTCCACTACGCCGGCACTGTGACTTACAACCTGAGTGGCTGGCTGGAGAAGAACAAGGATCCCCTCAACGACACCGTCGTCGATCAGCTCAAGAAGGCTACCAATCAGTTGCTCGTATTGTGCTTTGCTGACCATCCTGGCCAGTCTGGTGACGCTGGTGGCGGAAAAGGTAGGGTTTACATGAAACTGAGAATTTTCAATATATGTTATCCTTATTAACTTATAACTTCTGTTTACATATGGCGATTCATATCTTGTTTCTTTTCTATGTATTCAAATATTTCATTACTTTATTATTTGATACACATATATACTACTTTTTACTAGGTAAGGGAGGCAAGGGTGGCAAGAAGGGATCTGCTGGCTTCAAGACTGTGTCCTCTGGGTATAGGGTAAGCACATGTTATTTTCATTGCAGTTTCCTGGCTCGTGAAAATGCAGGTCTTTTGCACTGTTTTGAAATGTATTGAGGGCAGTTTTCTTTATTATCCTAACTCAATATGTCGCTAATTTCCTCAGGACCAACTGAACAGCCTCATGACGACCCTGCACTCCACTCATCCCCACTTCATCCGTTGCATTGTGCCCAACGAGACAAAGACGCCAGGTATGGGGCCGCGCAAAGCGTACACGCAAATACATGCAGTATGTACCCCAGAAAGAACTCTTATGTTAACTAATTAACGCCGCTGCTGTCCCCTCACCAGGTGCTGTTCAGGCTGGTCTTATCATGCACCAGCTGACCTGCAACGGCGTGCTCGAGGGCATCCGTATCTGCCGCAAGGGCTTCCCCAACAGGATGCCTTACCATGACTTCAAGCACCGGTTAGTCCTTTTTCAAATAGTTCATAAGCGCTCATATAAGCGTATATATAAGCGTTCAGAAGCACTCTTTTCTGGCTATATAAAGACTATAGGAAATCTGTTCTCATGGAGATCTGTTCTTCACTAGCTACAAGATCCTCGCTCCTGAAGTCATGATCAGCGAGAAGGACGACAAGAAAGCAGCAGAGAAGACGTTCGAAAAGGCTGGACTTGACCCAGAACTTTTCCGCTGCGGTAAAACCAAGGTCAGTATTTAAGCTTTTGTTGTTTATCATTTCCCTTCCTAGCCATCTTTCAGAATTCACACATACATGCATACACTCATATATATATATATATATATTTATATATACATATATACACATACATGTATACATATATATATATATATATATATATATATATATATATATATATATATATAATATGAATGTATATGCGTTTCTCTCTCTCTCTCTCTATGTATATATATATATATATATATATATATATATATATATATATATATATATATATACATGTATGTATGGATATGAATACACACACACACACATATATATATTCATGTATATATATAAACATATATTCATATATATACATATATATATGGATAGGGGATGTTTAAACACACAGACATATATATATACACACACATACACACATCAATTCCCTACAACAGTTTGAATGTTTTAATGTACATCATAGGTATTCTTCCGTGCTGGAGTCCTGGGTACCATGGAGGAAATTCGCGATGAGCGTTTGGGCAAAATCATCACCTGGATGCAGTCATGGATCCGCGGAATAATCGGTCGCAAGGAATATCTTAGGCTGCAGGAACAGCGCGTATCTCTGGTCGTGCTGCAGCGTAACATCAGGAAGTATATGGCCATGAGCAACTGGTCTTGGTTCATCTTCTGGCAGAAGGTGAAGCCTCTTATCAACCAGCCCAGGCTGGAAGACGAGATTAACCGACTCAAGGACAGGGCTGAGAAGGCCTGTCAAGACTTGGAGCGCGAATCTACTCGCAGGAAGGACCTTGAAGTCTCCAACACTAGTCTTACTGAAGAGTTGAATGACCTGAAGGTTACCCTTGAATCTACAAAGGGTAATGTCTCCCAGTTCATAGAGGAGATGGCCAAGCTATCTGCTCAGAAAACTGACCTAGAATGTCAGCTGAACGTAAGTAGATAATATTGATAATATTGTCGTTTGCCTATTGAAATTCTATACTAAATGTGAACAAGCTTTGATAAAAAGTATGTTTGACTACTGCATGACATGTTTTCAAATTACAGGACGCAACAATGAAACTGCAAAGAGAAGAAGAGTCTCGAACTCAAATGTTCCAGTCAAAGAGGTTGGCTGAACAGGATGTCAATGCCATGAAAAAGGATATTGAAGACTTTGAGCTGAATGTCCAGAAGACTAATCAGGACAAGGCAACAAAGGATCACCAGATCCGCACCTTGAACGACGAGATCGCTCACCAAGACGAAATCATCAACAAGATTAACAAGGAGAAGAAGCTCCTGCAGGAGATGAACCAGAAGACCGCTGAGGATCTGCAATCCATTGAAGATAAGGCTAATCATCTTAATAAGGTCAAGTCGAAGCTTGAACAGACACTTGACGAGCTTGAAGGTTCGGTCGATCGCGAGAAGAAGCTTCGTGGTGAAGTTGAAAGATCGAAGAGGAAGGTCGAAGGTGACCTGAAGCTGACCCAGGAGAGCGTGTCTGACCTCGAACGTCAGTACAAGGATGTAGAACAAAACATCCATCGCAAAGACAAGGAAATCGGTTCCCTTGCATGCAAACTCGAGGAAGAACAAGGCTTTGTGTCCAAGGTGCAGAAATCTATCAAGGAATTGCAGTCTCGCATCGAGGAACTAGAATCTGAAGTCGAACACGAGCGACAAGCCAGAGCCAAGGCAGAGAAGAGCAAGGGAGTGCTTGCTCGTGAGCTCGGCGACCTGAATGAGCGTTTGGACGAAGCAGGCGGTGCTACCAACGCCCAGGCTGAGCTCAACAAGAAGCGCGAGGCAGAGCTGGCTAAGCTGCGACGGGATCTCGAGGAATCCAACATCCAACACGAGTCGGCGCTTGCTGGCCTTCGCAAGAAGCACAATGACGCCGTGGCTGAAATGACCGAACAAATTGATCATCTTTCGAAGATGAAGAACAGGTGGGTAATGATATATTGCGGCAACTGATTTTAGAATTCATCGCACAAATAGTGTCTATTTGCGTACAGATATACCTACCTACATACATATATGTGTGTGTATGTGTATGTGCGTGTGTCTGTGGATGTGGATCCATGTCAGTGCGCATAAATGTATATATACACATATACATATGATTATACATATTCATGTGCATGCTCGTTCGCATGGTGATACGAATATGTAAACATACACACGCACACGTACACACGCATATATAGATTGAGAAATAGACAGATAGCCGACATGCATGTATATGTATATGAACTCTAGAATGACGTGGACATTAATTTAAACTTCATTTCCAACAGGACTGAAAAGGAGAAGGAAATGATTAAACGTGACGCCGAAGAAGCGAAGTCAGCTATGGACACCCTTTCTCGTGAGAAGGTAAAAATATTATGTATATATATTTATTTCCCTTTTCTTTATATACAAATATATGTATATATATATATATATATATATATATATATATATATATATATATATATACATATATATATGCTTACACACACACACACACACACACACACACACATATATATATATATATATATATATATATATATATATATGTGTGTGTGTGTGTGTGTGTGTGTGTGTGTGTGTATGCACGCGCGCACACACACATACACACTCAATGTCTGTAATAATCATCTGCACAAGAGCACGAACAGAGGGTGACGGTTTTTCTTCTCCCACCAGGCCATGGCTGATAAGACAAACAAGCAGATTCAGCAGCAGATCAATGATGTGAACTCCAGGTTTGAAGAAGCAAACCGCAATCTTAACGATTTCGATGCTCACAAGAAGAAGCTTGCTATTGAGAACGCCGACTTGTTGCGTCAACTGGAGGAGATAGAAGGCCAGATCTCTCAGCTGAACAATCTCAAGGTTTCTCTCACGACGCAGTTGGACGATACCAAGAAGATTGTCGAGGATGAGGCAAGGGTAAGCAAGGAAGGAATCAAAGATTATGAACTCATAGTTATTTGATTTTTAGATATTCGATTGACTTTTTAATTTTAAAAATTCTTTCCCTCTCTCTGCAGGAACGAAGCAACCTTCTTGGTAAATTCCGCAACTTGGAACATGACCTTGACGGCCTTCGTGAACAACTTGATGAGGAAACTGAGGCTAAGGCTGATGCTAATCGCCTGCTGTCCAAGGCGAATGCTGAAGCTCATATGTGGCGCTCCAAGTACGAGGCTGAAGGTGTGGCTCGTGCCGAAGAGATCGAGGCCGCCCGCCTGAAGCTTGCCGCTCGCCTCGAGGAAGCTGAATTGCAGATTGAACAGCTCAATGTAAAGAATCTGCAGATGGAAAAGGCCAAGGGGCGCGTTCTGTCCGACATTGAGGAGATGCAACTGCAGGTGGAACGTGCTCAGGGTCTAGCCATTGCTGCCGAAAAGAAGCAGAAGAACTTTGATCGGGTTGTCAACGAATGGAAGGTAAAGGTTGACGATCTTGCCGTGGAACTGGATGCTTCCCAGAAAGAGTGCCGCCAGTATTCCACCGAGCACTTCCGCATCAAGGCCATGTACGAGGAAAATCTTGAGCATCTGGATGCTGTTCGTCGTGAGAACAAGAGTCTGGCTGATGAGATCAAGGACTTGATGGAGCAGATCAGCGAGGGAGGCCGATCCCTTCACGAGATAGAGAAGAATGCAAAGCGTTTTGAAATTGAGAAGGAGGAGCTTCAGGCTGCTCTCGAGGAGGCCGAGGTGGCCCTTGAACAGGAGGAAAACAAGGTTCTCCGCGGCCAGCTGGAACTTAGCCAAGTCAGACAAGAAATTGAAAAGCGTATCCATGAAAAAGAAGAAGAATTTGACGCGGCCCGGTAAGCATCTATTTTTCATAAAGGCATAATGCCTCTTATTAATAAAATACCTATTTTGAAAAAAGGTGATAATAGTCTTACTGTAGTACTGACGCATTTAATCAAATTAGGCAAAAAGAAAACAATTTCATTTTCGATATACTGAATTATCATTATTATTGGTGTTATTATTGTTGATATCATTATATATTATTACATTTGTTATT